ATCTATTCGCATGACACCTGTGACTCCCACGTAAGCACTGTAGTTATAGGTGATAATGCACGTGTGTCGCACCTGTAAGATCAGGCGGAATAATGATCAGGGCCTCCTCCAATATCTCCTGGATAGCTAGGGACTTTATATAGCTGTAGGTACGCAGAGGGTTGTCAGTATTACCGTACTATTAATAGAATCATGTGATCCGGTTACCGTGCCCAACGTCGCATAGTGATGGAACGTTCGAGCTCGTCGTGTCACACGACGAGCTCGAGTATCTCACTTCAAGGTGGTCGGATTAAGAGCGCGTTTTGACAAACAATTCACTAGTAATGATTGGGATACGTATATGAGTCATACAATGTAGACTAAGGCAATGCAATACTACTACTCATGCCCCTCCTCCTCTTCGTCAGAAGACTCTACAAACTCAGCGCTTTTGGGACCTTCCTGCAGCTGGGTAGAGTTCTTCTTTGCTCTCTTCGAAGGCCTGATATTCTCCTTGTTTACCCGTCCTGCGCTGGACCCGTCTTTACGCTTGCGAGGTACGCCAGCATCCGAACGCTTTTTTCGTGGCTTCCGAACGACTTCCCCGGCTGAACGCGTGTCGAGTTCAGACGCGTGAGCTTTGAGCTCTGCCGGTGATAGAACTGTCCAGTAGCACGTACGTGCCTTGAGGGCATCCCGGAGCTTGCGAATGTCGCCGACGGTCCCGATGTTCGAAGGGCTAGTGAACTTGACACCATTGGGCCAGCCCACAAGGCGCACCCCATACGTTTCGATGACGGATGTTTCATAGTTGTGGTAGTTCATCACAATATCTTTTTTGCCGGTCACAGCAACTGTGCATAATGTTAGACGGGGCAGAATTTGTAGAACGTCGATACTCACCTAGGCCCCGGAGGATCATCTTGCGTACTTGCTTTCTTACAGCTTCCAAAGAGTGCGTTCATTGAGATCTACCGGACGATGCATAAGTACACAAACTATGTGAAGAGACGAAGGACTTACTTTGATTCTGGGTGCATGCCCATTGTTCGTATTGCCTAAGAAAGTCAGCCATAGGATGCTCGTACACATCCTCCCAAAAGTCTTCAGAGTTATCCGTGCCGTGCATAGCGCTTTGAATGCTATCGTTAATGTGACGCGGACAACAAATAGTGTGCCATAGACACCAGTCCGAACTCGCAGATCATCCAGCTTCAAAGAAAAAAATGAATTCAGTTGATTGCGTGAAGATTGAAGATTCAGACGTACCTCTTTGACGATCCTATCCGTTGTGGCTACAACATCTCGTGCAGCCGCCAGATTGTTCGCCCGAACACTAATGACCTTTTTTCACGATGCTCCTCGAGAGCTGCGATGTAGCGTTCCTTTTCTTCCCTGGTAAGGGCTTTTGTTTCAGGGTCGGACGCAACCATCTGGCGGAGTTCCGCCAACGAGTACCGAGCGCCTGCGGGTCGGTCTAGTTGATGCAGGATAAGCTTCGTGATACAATTGAGTTGAAATTCATTTGACTCACCTGCGTTCATCTCTTTCGCCTTGGCGTGAACAAGTGCATTGATTAATTGACTCTTGCGCGAGGTTCGATAATGAGTCTGACTGCCGATGATATCGTTGATGTGCTTGGGAGTAACATGATGAGCCCGCGAGAGCGCTTCGATCTTCGTTTTCTGTGCATCTAAGTATTCAGCAACTGCGTCGTGTAAGTGCTTCGTTCTCTCTAGCCTCTGGTCCCGCTTGATCTTTCGAGACGCCTTCTGGGCATCTGTTAGTCGAGGTGGTGGTGTCCGAGGGCGGATAATCGCTCGTGTTGGGTTCCGTGCTGCCCAGGAGGACATGTTTGCCTCACGGAGTGACTCTGGCATCTCTCCACTGGTGTCTGGCGCCTCTGCTTCGGCAGGACTCGGTGAGTCTGGGTCATGCGTTGAAGTAGGCTGAGGTGACGGTGTGCGAGCAGGGAGGGTATTGCGAAGGCAACTGGTGGGGGGGCGGGGAGCTCTGGCACGGTTGGGATATTTGTGGCTGCTATGTCGTTAGTTAGAGCCGCGATTTCGTCATTGGTAAGTGGCATTGTGTACAGGGACGGGTCATCCCAGTTCATCTGACTGATCCCGGGAACCCGTTCACTGCCAGTGCTGCTGATCGGATCGGAATCGTCGCCTGTTGGGTATGGGTAGCTGGGAAGTATACCTCCCCCCCCAGGAAGCAAATCCAGAAAACCTCCGGCTGAGATAAAATCGCCGTTGGCGTTAAAATCATCGGATGTGTAGAGGTAGCTCATACTTAGAGCTGTGAGTGAAAAATGTGTAGACGGGGACGTATCTTCAAACTTTGGCGTCTGATGGATCGTATAGATCACCAAACGAACGATGTAGACGGGGACACGGCTTCAAAGTTTGGCATGCGATGGATCAGATAGATCACGCAAAAACACGACACGCGACGCGTTGCGCACGTCCTATCATTCAACGCCATTTGTTTGAAAAAAAAATATGCATAAATCGGTGTAAGATCTTGAGGTTGACATGAAACCGCTTAGGCACATATTAGTAGAGGCAGTGCAATGCAGTGCTGATCAGTGCATACCTTCAATATTGCGCAACTCGGGTCTCCATGATATGGCATAGCTCGGCTGGAATGCGTCCGTCCAGGAAATGTATTCATCCAGGTAAATGCCACTTTGACGAGTGAGGGGGGGAATGCCAGTATGACGAGTGAGGGAGGTGATATATTCGTCAAGGTAAATGCCGGCGTGATGAGTGAGGTTAATATTATTTTGATGAGTGAGGAGGAGCGGGGTTAGCAGCCAACCAGGAACAAGAGTGCGACGGCAATTCATCACAATGCGCAGGCCTTCAAGAGCAACGGCAATTCGTCACGATGCGCGGGCCTTCGAGACAATAGAATGCCTTGGACTTGCATCTGTATAAAAACCATCAGCCAGGTCAATGTGTGGCTCAGGAGGTACAAACCCGCTACATACCTTTTGACATACTGGGTGTCCATTCCAGCAGAGTCCAAATTCCAACCATAGGTCGGAGCTTGATTTTGGCTGCAAAGCCGGAATTCCAGTATTCTATTGGCCGTGGTTGCATGTCTAGCGTGCCAAAGGAAGACAATGAAGCAGACTCAGACCACGCATCAGCGTTAAGGCTGCAATGCCTAAACTTGGACCAACAACTCATTAGTAAGCACTATTGCTTCCGCTGACAAGCGCTTAACAATTTACCGTGCATATATCATCGATCATCTCGATCATTGCCAGCTGTCGATGTCAAAAAATATTATGTGGATTACTCTTAGTAGTAGTTGTCGATGTCTTATGGCACCGTGCCCATCGTTCCTTTCCCCCCAAATCATGGTAAGCACAATTCTTCACATTTCAATCTGCACGTCTAACTTGTGCATTCACAGAGACGTTCGACTCAGGGGCCATCACGCGGCCTATCATCCAGGCAGCGCACAGCTACGCAACGTTGGCTCTCGAAGCCAGGGTAGGTCGATTTTTTGAGTCACTGAAATTTTGCTTACCACCCCTGCACAGAGTTCGAGAAGCTCAAAACGCCAAGGCTCGTGCTCGAGTAGCGTTGTGAGTCCATCCCCCACACAACTCTACCTGTTCGTGCTCACATGATTTCTTTTAGCAATAGGGCAAGGTAAGGTCTCGTATATTGCCATGGGCGTCATTTACTTAATTACTCTACAGGAAGAAAAAAAAAAGATCGAAGATCAAACAGCGGCACCCATCACATCATCAGTCGACAACTACGAAGACCTATCCTGGGACGCCAACGACGATTCCGCCATCACTCATCAGTCGACACTCGAAGACCTGTCCTGGGACACCAACGACGATTCAGTGCTCACGATGGATAACGACTTACCTTGCCCCTGCGACTCTCAAACGCTAATTCGACAGAGAGAATCGTCCAGAGGGTGGCGAAAGGAGTGGTTGGTATGGTTGGTAGCAGAAGAGACATGGAGAGAAGTATACCGAGGAAGCACTCGCACACGCTCGGGTGGAGGGGGAAAGTGAGACTGACATTTTCTTGGGACCAATGTGCGCTGCATGTTTTGGAGGGAGGAAGATCCTGGAAGCCATAAGGGAGATTGTACACACCAGTTGCCCTTATTGCAGGGAGCGTCTTAAGTATGACCAGCATTCTACTATACGACTTACTGGGTTTCCTGATTTCAGAGGTAAAGTTCATGGAGGTGAAACTAGATAATGAACATTATAAATAGTAGATTATCGTAGTCAATCAAGAGGGAATCCGTCTTTGCAAAGAGCTTTCTGAGATGATCCAGCATGTGAACATAGCGAACGATAGCGAACGGATAGCGAACGGATAGCGAACAATAGCGAACAGATAGCGAACAGATAGCGAACATGAGTGTACGGATGCTCGGGGCTCGCGAATGCAACACTGTTGAAAAATATTGAACATGGTGAGGTGTTTATTAGGAATAGGTAGACATGCATACTTGAGCCGAAGCTGTAAAATGTTGTGGTGATTTCCATGCAGAATGTTATGAATATGACAGGGTTGTATGTAGCGGTTGATGCATGATGCAATTGTGCTAGTGACACACTGACCAACATATGATGATTTTCTGTGCACGCTGGATTTCTACACTATCAATGAATATTCCAACAAATGTATGGCTCTGGTATAACGAGTAAGGCGCGTTTCGCGTGTTCATTTTGTCATTCTAATACATATACAGCGCACATCACAGCGCACAACGTAAACGATATAGTATTAAAGCTGGCTCATTGTCTCCGTCAAGTCTTCGACCTGCAACCATAGTGAGTCTTCACTCGCAGATGAGCCCATAGACAATGTAGGTGAAGGAGGGTTGGGCGAGGACTCTGGAGGGGATGGCCAGAAAGGGCCACCTGCCAGTGGAACCGCCCGGACCCTGCCTTCATCATAGCTGGCTGTATATGCTGCTAATGCCCGCTGAAACGATGTGTATCGTTTTGAATATTACCGCTGATAAAATTTGTTCGTTCGGCAACATCAGCCCTAACAACATTGTCAAGAATTAGCCAACACAAGCCAACAGGTACCCCATAGTACACGTCACACTTACCAGCGGTAAAACACACCAACTTCCTGCCCAACCGTTATCACCCAGAATCCTTCGGGTGTCTGATCGGCTCGTGGAGGACGGATGGCACTAGGAATCGGAATGGAGGCCGTGACTTGGCGGGGTGTCTGCACAACCATCGATGAAGCTTGAGGATGAGGGTGGGATGGTGTAGCAGTAGAGCGAGCTGAAGTGGAAGGGGGAATGGGTGCTTTGTTCTTCGGAACGGAACGAGTGCTGGTGGACGTGGACGGCGTGAACGATGATCTCGACAGGCTGATGGACTCTTCCGTGGTCTTGCGGCTCCAAGTCACGGTATCGAATGATGAATCTATATCGAGTGTCAGTGTATTAATTTCTGGATTGTTGAAAAGACGCACCTGACAGTGTCATACCTTGCAGCAAATTGTGCAGGTCTTGAATATGGCCACCCTGGGTAGGGGCGGCCACTGGATGGTGTTGACATAGGAGCGATCTCACGAACGCTTGGTCAGAGTGCTAGACAGTCTATAATCAGTCACGTGAGAAATAGATCGGACTGTGACAGTAGTACAAACTTTAGATAGGTCTGAATGGCGCGAAAAAATGCAGCACGTCAGCGAGTCCGCACAAATATCTCTCTGCGATCGGTTCGGCACATCAGGGCACCGAGGGACAACAACAGATTGCCAGCCAACTCCATTTCCAAAGTACTCAAGCACAGGCAGTTGGTCCAGCAAGCAGCAAGTTCAATGAGCGGCGGCAAGCACGTCTACAAGGTACGCTATGTTAATTCAATACTTGGAAGGGGAAAAAAAACCTTTTGTATAGCTATGAGTTTGGATGAGCGTCGGGCACTCGAAGCGCTGAAAGAGGACAATAATAGCACCATCGATGGCTGGCAGGATGACTACGATGACTTCAGCTTTGGTACATCTGCGATGGAACAGAGCCGCTCGCCATCAGCCATGCTGGTGGCGAGTTCACTGACCTTGCAAGAGAGGTTCTAGGAGACTTTGGAAAACGTGAGTGAATTTTGTCATGACCTTCACATTTGACTTACCTTTGCGAGCAGCAACAATCGTGTTTGATGGGTGGATAACCGCACCCGTCGTGATCGTGTCCTCCTTAGGAACAAGGCGTTTGCTGAGCAGCTGCCAGTGATAACGGACGCGTACCTTGCGTGGAGCCTGGCAAAATGTAAGGAAGGGTTTTGGAGAGGGAGAACCTAGGGCTGGATGGCTTTGACTATGGTCAGTGGCCGATGAGCGTGATAGACGTGTTCTGTGAGTAAGTCGGTCTGTTGTCGTTTGCTTACGATTTGATGACGGCATATTGTTTAGACACTGAGAAAGTCATTCTTCGAATCTTGCCAGCAGACGCCACTATCAGCAGTGCGCTCGTTCGTCAAGGCGTGATGCCTTGTTCACCAATATCACCGACTGTCGGGATCACCACCGAAGCTCTGGACTTATACCGTGTAGCACATCTTAGGAGCCCTCAATTGTCTATCCAGGCTTTCGTCAAGACTATGTGCGACTTACATGGTGTATGTCTTCTGATTTCTTTGGTTCTTATCGTGCTGATTCACGCGCAGGTTAGTTTCCACAGACATCTATCTCGACAATTCTCGATTGCGTTCGATTATATCTTCAAGTTCGACGCTCCGTGGCAGCCATGGTAGCCGAATCGTTACGACACAACACGCCTGATTGGCACGTGAAACACGCCTGTCCCGCATGTACATATAAACTGACGGATGAACCCGAGTTGACATTTAGCTTACTCTACGCTATGGACGGTAACGACTCTTTAAAAAAGAGTCCTTCGAAGATCCTTGGATACTGACGAGTCCCTCGGTACATCTTCAGAACTTCCAACAGGGCAGCAACTGGCAAGTGACCGCTACCTATCCCGCACTTTTGTAGATCAGTTCGCGCAGGACTCCACTACTGCAGGTGATGAGGTGAGTGCTTTCCATCCGGGTTGGTGATGGCTAATACCCTAACCTATAGGACGCACATCTCGAGAACTTGTGCGAAGCACGCTGGAAGAACATGGACGATACGAAGACCAAGAAAGCATGGGGCATTTACGATGAAACGGGCATTTTTTGTGGCCGTGTGCCGCCACGGATTCTCTCTCCTTGTTGCAGATATGGTACAGAGCGGGGAGCTGTACGTTACATTTTTTTAATGCGTTGTTCACGAGCTAATGATTATCTATCAGCGCAAAGTATCCTCTAGCCATTGTCTCAAAGTTGCTGGACGTATTTGGAAGCAATCTGGGCGGTGGATATGACATTGGATGTCAATTCAAGACCACGCTTGACAACAGTTCCCTCGGACCCCTCGCACGGTCTATGCATCACACTTGTCTTGTCGGCGCCTTCCACGGACATGCGCACCGGCGATTGTGCCAACTGTACTCGCTTACCACTTACATCAAAGGTTTAGGACTCGAAGATCTCGAGACTTGCGAACAGACGTTTTCAAAATCCAATTCCTTAGCGTCGGCACTACGGTACGCAAGCGTCTTCCATAGACAACAGGCCATCGACACCTACTTCGAGCACAATGATGATTTTGAAGTCTACGCTAATCTTTGTAAGCCGTCTCGTCGTGTCGTCAAACTTGACTGTGTGCTGACGTAATATTTGTGTTTGCTAGCCGACTTTTTATACAACAATTACAAGCAGGCGCTTGATATCTTGAGCGACGGAGACGCGACCCTACCAAACCTTATGCGAGATCTCAAAGTTACGGACGTAGCAGTTTTCGAGGGCTGGCTGGCGGAAGAAAAGGTATATCTTCAAAGTCTGACGCGAGAACCCGAGGTCGAAACTCTGCAGATGGAATATTGGCAGAAGTTAGTTAATCTTACTGCGAGCGAGTGAGTTTCGATGTCAAGCTATGGCCCTTGTACCCGCTGACACAATTTACATAGGGAAATTCTACGCGCTTCAATGACATCATTCCAGGGCTCATCGCACCTCGAGGCTGTGCCATACGATGCGCACGTCAAGAATACTCGCAACGCTGAGACTGCCCAACGGCATGCTTTGGAGGACCATGAGAGATATTTGAAGCTCGTCCAGGCACTGGAGTGCAAGCTCGAGGTCGAGAAACGCTGGACTCCGCACGATGGAGAGTGGCAGAGGGTTGGGAGGCTCGTGGCCAATCGGAAATACCAGCGTGCCCTGGACCGTCTCGAAGGATTAATTGTGGCACGCATATTTGAGCTAACGAGGATGAACCGTGCGGGCACAGGTGAGTAAAAGGTAGTATATTGCTTGCTGATTCTAACATTGAACAAGGCTACAAACTGCGAAAGCATATCGCTAAGGCGTTACAAATGTGTTCCGTCGCCATCAGAACTGCCCTCACCACATACAACACTATTGCTGGGTCAATGCACCCTCCCCGCCGGACGCTTAAGTGGGATGAGGTCGTAGAGTATGCGTTCCTCGCAGACTTCGACTTACTACGTGATACGTGCACGGACATATCTCGACACCCGTGGTCATCGACCGCTGCTTGTAGCGTGATGGACCTCTACTTCAAAACGTGTCGTGCTTGTGAAGAGATCGAGCGTCTCGATATTGAGGTACGACGCCTCATTACCTATATACGCGATGAAGAGAGGTATCTACGGGAATGCGAGAATCAGTTACAAGCCACCAGCCCAGCCCTTGCACATCAAATCGCCATCCACCGAAACACTCGAGGTCGCTTCAACTCACGACATCTCAAACGACTCTACGACATTTCGAAGCTTCCAGGTTTCAGAGGGACGCTAACCCCTGGTGTCAGTGCGAACACAAGTCCCGGCGAGAGCGCGAGTATAGCTAATGCACAGATCCCCACCCGCATGATTGTTCAACCCCCGCCTGTTCATCACACCGCATCGTCCTTAGCCGTAGACACCCAGGATGACCTGGATGATGAGGAGGAAGAGGACGAGGTAGTGGAGCAAGTATCTAGGAGTTTACAGGACGTCCTCCTTGTTGCGGATGACTTTTCACGCCTTGGAATTCATGGTGATGCTGAGGAGTAGTATTACTAGTTATATATACACATCCTATGGACTTGCATGTATTCCCTACGTTTCGCAATCATTACTGGTGCACTATTTGTCAAAACGCGCTCTTAATCCGACCACCTTGAAGTGAGATACTCGAGCTCGTCGTGTGACACGACGAGCTCGAACGTTCCCATCACTATGCGACGTTGGGCACGGTAACCGGATCACATGATTCTATTAATAGTACGGTAATACTGACAACCCTCTGCGTACCTACAGCTATATAAAGTCCCTAGCTATCCAGGAGATATTGGAGGAGGCCCTGATTCATTATATCCGCCTGATCTTACAGGTGCGACACACGTGCATTATCACCTATAACTACAGTGCTTACGTGGGAGTCACAGGTGACCACGCAGTCTCAGTGTCCAAAATTCTATAAAATGAGTTGCTGACAAAGCCAACAAGACATGCGGCGCCGAAAAATGATCCATCAAAGTGCTTATAAGTGTACGAACCTTGTCTTATGGTGCTGGACGCTGGCAAGATGCCCACCAGATCCACGATGCTGAAATGATGTCTGACATGCAGTGTCGGAGACTTTCCGAAGACATGGCGCCAATGATTCTCGCAGGTGGGCGGCGTGGGCCTGGCATTGCCAAACATGCACAGGCTGAATTTTCCTTACGAGGATTCCACGAGGATAGGCTGGGAAATAGGTCAGAAGTCATGCAATCTGGCATGAGCGACGTGTCAAAACCGACGCTCGCTCGGAAATCGCATCCTCTTCGCTTCTGTTTGACAGAGTCGTGGCCACTAACTCGTGCTTACAAGGTTGTTCGTGTCCGTCACGGTTGTGCGACTCTCTAGGACTCTCTGCACTAGACATACTCTATCGACGTACGATTGATGCATCACGCTCTGCTTATTTCTGAAATCCTCCTGGACATATTCGCCCATGTCAATACAAACCTGGACCCACTATCATATGGCGAGATATCATTGGCTCGGAAATCCCTTGCAACGCTTGCAGCGACATGCAAAACCTTCTACGAGCCCGCAATGGATTTGCTCTGGGCTGACATGCATGGGATAGTACCACTGCTGGGCTGTGTAACGAGGCTCCATCCTATGATACATGCTGGAAGGGTTAGTGCGGAGTAGTCACGCTCCCTTCATGCTATTTCGTTCGGTAGCTCACTGACAATCCATACCTAGTACACTTGGTACTCTGAAGGCATCAACCCATTATGTGAGCATGAAGTCCGTCAATTTTTGCGTCACGCCCACCGCGTGCGCTCATTGCAAATCCCATTCGACAACCATTTTCACCTTCTTTCAGTCTTCCCTATCAAGACATACATGTTCCCGAGATTGCTGTCGTTATCAATGGTTTTACATCCGACTGGATACTTGCATCTCTTCCTGTCCCCCACGTTGCGTCGTTGTTTCCTACCGCTCATTCATCCGGATTTGAAATTAATTGCGACCTATTGCTCTGCTTTGGAGGATTTAACCGTCAAGGTCCCTTGCCCAAGCACATCAGATGAGCTGTCCCTGCTGTCTGACAGTGTCCGTCTGTGCAAGCAGCTTGTAACTCTGTACTGTCCACCTCTTGACTGGGCAGCATGGGAGCACCTCTCCAACCTCCCTACCCTTCTCTCAGTGGCGATTTGTGGCGAAGTTTTTTGCCCGTTGGACACGGATAACTTCGTTTTCACACGTTTCCTCAACATCACAGCTCTTTCCTTCCATGTAAACACGGCATCATACGTTATCGCAGTCATGCAAAACTCAGCATTCCCCTCGCTGAAGGAGTTCAAGATGGTTGTCCGTGCCTTGCCTTGGGAAGATGCCGAGCAGCTTTTTCATGCACTGTCACAGTGCACGGCATCCCAGGTTCTTGAACACATCGACATTTTATCCCGTGATCAAAGAGTTCCGGAGCCCTCGGACAGTTCTTTGACACCAATCGCACAATTCTTTGGTTTCACGCAGCTCCAAACCCTGCAGCTCGCTTTTCCCCATTGCTGTATTCGCCTTGACAACCACCTTCTTTTGAAAGCCATGTCAAGTTGGCCACTCATCCGCTCTCTGAAATTAGAAGACCCACATCTTCGCCCAGCTACTATTACATTCTGCGGATTATTCGCAGCGCTCCGTCAATCCCCCCACTTGCATACGCTGCACGTATCAATGGACGCTGTGAATATCGATGTCGATCCCCAGGCCGAGTCATTTCAGCATAAATCTCTACAAACATTGGATGTGCGCTCCTCCCACATAGCAGATCGCGAAACCGTCGCTCAAATCATCTTCTCTATGCTTCCTTCCGTCGAGAGCGTCATCTACGGCTATAGTGGACGCCACATCCGGTACGCGTGGCAGGAAGTTAACAAGCGTCTCAAATCTCTCAAGTCTTCTGCGGCCCTTGGCCGCTATGTCACTGGAGCAGCTGTTGGAGGGACCTAAGCTCACAATATATACACATTCAGCAGGTGTCCTGGAGTTGCTATCAATATTTTCATACTTAGAATGTGGGAGTGGGACGTTGGGACGAGCAAGGTGGTCTTAGATTACTCCTTAACATGTAATTGACTCAGAATACATGATAATTATCTGTCATCGCTGCAGGGGCGCATCCGCACCATCCAACTTAAAGCATACACACAAATCGTACGTGGTCTTTCCTTCTCGCACCCAACACTAATCCACGCCTTCAATTATTCGCACTCGTTTCTTCTAACCAGCGGCGCCATTACAACGTGTTAATCATATATACCATATCCTGATGCGCGTCAACTCTCCTCAGTGCTTTTGGCTTTGTAAGTTGCACATTTCAACATTCCCTCCAAGTTCAGTAGACTCACTCCAGTCTCTGAAGCGGCTTATTTTCATTGGTCCATCTTCCTTGATAACGACATTCTTTTGGACGCAATGTCAAATTGGCCGCACATCCGCTCGCTGCACTTGGTGTGCAGGCGGAAAGCACCTACTGTTGCATTCTGCGGATTATACATAGCGCTTCGTCTATGCCCCCACTTGCATACGCTGGGCATATCAATAGACACCGTGAATAACGATATCGATCCTACCACCGAGTCATTTCAACATACCATTCTACAAATATTGGACTTGACCAAGTCTCGTGTAGCAGATGCAAAGGCTGTGACTCGCGTCATCTTCTCCATGCTCCCTTGCGTCGACCGAGTTAGCCAACTACCCCATGGGGGCAACCTACTACCGCGCGCATGGCACAAGGTCAACAGGCACCTCAAATCATTTAAATCTGCTCTGGTGCCTTGTCGAGACATCGCAGGAGCACCCTCTGAGAATACCTGAGTTCGGTGTACACTCTTGTTCAGGGGACATAGGCCCTGTCGTTGTCGTAACGTCGTTGTAGTTCATATTGTCCATAGCTACAATTTTTTTCGGTACCTCCGCGATCGACAGAAGTTGACGCAATGTTCTAACTCCTGAGGCAAAATTTTGAATTTAACAGATCGGCGTGGGCAAGCAGCAGGATTGAAACCAGAGAAGCCCAAGTCCAATCACTGTCGCGTCGACCAGAAAAGTCACGTGCTAATCACGTGCGTCCTTGTGAGACGCGATGTCTGGAGTGTGGAATTCAATTATAATTACCTACCTGCAACAACAAGATTTAGACATGGACGAAGATTTGGAAAGGTCAGTTGTGTCTATCGCAATTTCCATGGTTTCTTACCGTATGAATTAGAGCGCTTGCTTTGAGTCTCCAAGAGTCCCGGGCCAACGCATCATCTTCAAGGGCCATTTCAATCAGTGATTCCGAGGACGATGACGACGATCATTTTCAGTCCGAGTTGCAGCAGGCAATACAAGCCTCCAAAGCCGAATCTTCGCGGGCAACGACACAATCTGTCCATAATCCTGATCCTCCGTCTCAAAGCGCTCGGAGTACCCCTGCGGCAAGCTTCTTGTCCGAACGAGCGCAGATGGAAAGAGAACGCCTCGAAAGACTGAAGAGGGTGCGTGGGCAGGATGCAGATGATGGAGGTCGTATATCACCCCCAAAGAGGCAACATATCTCCTCCTCTGGAATACACGCTAATGGTCGAGCGAACATTGCTTCTGCTTCGTCATCTAGTGTCCCTTCGGGCTCATCAGAAAGCTCGCGAGCAGCCAGTACTGCTATCAATCCTATACCGACCTCTGAACAACTGTTCTGGAATGGCGAACTGCGCCCAACAGCCAACAAACATTCTCAACCCCGTCAAGATGGAAAGCCCACTTTCCGCCTCACAGATGTACTGGGTTTGGTACGCTCTGGTTCTCCTGTGTGCTGTATTCATGATGCGTGATACTGCAGCTCTTCAGAAATCTGATATATCCTTTGCTATCATAGCGTCGTACTCGACGTCCGTCTCTTGGACATATGAATTCTTTGCGCCCTCTACTCCAGTGATTATCGTGGCGCAGCCTGATCAGTCAGGTCAACCGACCATCAGGAATATTCTTCCAAACTGGGTTATGACCGTTCCTTTTCTCCGCAATGGACGAGGTTGCCAACATATGAAAGTAGGTTTGCTGGTACAGAGATTGCAGAACGCCCTGCTGACTTCACCGCCCTCTAGTTCATGCTTGTGAGTCCATTCGGGCCACTACACAACGCTGACTGAATTTCTTCGAAGATATTCTACAAGACTGGACGACTTCGCGTAGTCATATCCACCGCCAACCTGATTGATTATGATTGGCGCGATATCGAGAATGTGAGTCCGCTCTCAACGCATGGAAGTTCTTGAACAGTTTTCTAGGCCGTTTGGCTGCAAGATCTACCTCCACGATCTGCTCCGATACCGCACGATCCCAAGGTTGTCGACGACTTCCCATCAATCATGCAAAACGTGCTGCGCGCTGTCAATGTTCGACCTGCGCTTGCGAACATGCTGGCAAACGATGTCAGTCAGGTTAGGAAACTCTCTTGTCACACTACTGATCTCGTCCCCCAGCACCCAAACCTGCCTCTTCAGACCGTCGGCGACTTGCGAACGAAATGGGATTGGTCAAAAGTGAAGGTCAAGCTCGTTCCTTCCATCGCTGGTAAACACGAAGGATGGCCGAACGTCATCTTGACCGGTCATACCAGGCTGATGAAGGCGGTCCGCGACATGGGGCTTCGCACCGGAAAGGGAAAGGCTGCCAAGGACCTCGTTGTCGAGTGTCAGGTATGTCCAACATCTTAAATTTTTTTGCAGAAGGTTCATGCTATATAGGGCTCGAGTATAGGAACTTACTCAACCCAGTGGATAAACGAGTTCCACTGGTCGGCACGTGGAGAATCAGCTGAAGACTGGCTGGATGAGCCAAAAACCAGACGCGCCAAGTTGCCGTGGCCGCCGGTGAAAGTTGTATTCCCCAGCCTCAAGACCGTGCATGATAGCGTCCTTGGTGAACAGGTCAGTCATGTGATTTCGGGGATCACTCTTGAAGATCTCAAAATGATTGACAGGGAGGTGGGACCATGTTTTGCCGTACAAACCAGTGGGAAGGGTCAAAATTTCCTCGAGAGCTATTCCATGACTCAAATAGTGCTGGCGGACGAGTGTTGATGCATACCAAGGTATGCCGGCGCAAGTACATCTGCGGATCACTAACCCATTCGGCTCTTCAGATGATTATAGCGACCTACCGCCCAAAGAAATCGATATTTGAAAATGGTAGCTCATCAAAGGGAAAGGGAAAAGAGCTGTCTGACAGTGAAACCGAACCTGAATCAGACGACATCGAGATACAAAACGACCCAATTGGTTGGGCTTACGTTGGCTCGCACAATTTCACTCCCTCAGCATGGGGAACGTTGTCTGGCTCGGGGTTTAACCCAGTGCTCAACGTAAGTCAGCTCTGACTCCCTTTGCTTTACTGATGACCTGATATTCATCAGGTGGTCAACTATGAGTTGGGAATCATTCTCCCTCTTTACGATGCAAAGGATGCGGAGAGGGTATCATGCTTCAAGCGTCCGGCGAGGAAGTATGTCAATGGACAGGATAGACCTTGGGTGAGTTCGACCGTGTGCAAGGGGGCGTAAACTTATATGAGGTTTTTGTCTCAGATACAGGAGGAGTCGCAGTTACTGCGGCAAGGCTAGCAGGCATCATGTTACGTACTTTGCCAACATCATTGTTACAGGAAGCCCTTGGTTGTTGTTGAATACGACTCTAAACTTAGACCAATCTCACACTCAGAACAAGGCAATTTCCCTAGTACACGACTTGCGAAAGTGAGAGATGAATCGGGCATCCATGACTGCATCAAGGTCACATGGATCTCCTGCATCATAACAACTGAGCTTCAAAAGCATGTATTAAAATAACAACGATACGATACATGAGATATCAACATCAAATGTCAAATAGAATAGATAGCATGTGAGTACATCCATCAAACACATACATCTTAGACGTAGGACCAAGCGAAGCGTTGGCTATCATCACAGATCAGATCAGATCAGACATTCGCCCTCTCCAGATCGTCCTTCATCTCCGCCTTCGCCTTATCGTCACCCGCGGCGCTCGACACCTCACTTTCGCTCTCCAATTGATAAAGCTGCTCAGGGACAGGATTCTGGAACAAAACAAACTTCTTGAAGCCGTAGGGTATCTGCCGCAGGCCGTATGCAGCGTGCTGTGCCAAGTGGGACAGCGAAAACTTGGTCGAGCTCCTCCAGGGTCTTGCCTTTCGTCTCGCGCACGAAGAGCAGAATAAGCACCCAGAGAATACAGCACCATGCTGCATACCAACCGAAAGCACCTTGCGGCTTTAAAGGCCAAGATGAGCGAAGGCCAAGTGATTGAAAGAACGAAGTTCCAAAACCAGGTGGTCGCAGTGGCAAAGGACATGCCGACATCACGGATATAGAGAGGGAATGCCTCTGCGGAGTAGGTGAACGGCACTGGACCTTCACCTGGAGAGTAGAATATTGCGAAAAGGTCTGAGAGAGAGATATCAGCGACAGTATTTAGTGCCAAGAGGAAGACATACATATTCCAATACTAACGCCAGCAACACGCCCTGTCTCCGAAGTACTCCAGAAGGAGAAACCGGTGATTAGGAGACAGATGGCCATGCAGGGGAATGTGAACAAAAGCAAGTTTCCTCCGCCCGAAAGTGTCGATCTAGTGCCTCGGCTTTCAGTATTGACGGAAACCATAACTGATGACAGGAAAACCTACGGTGAAAACAGCAGGAATCGCGAACAGCCAGTTAAGTGCACCAAATCCAAGGGAGGAAGCCAGTGCCGCAACCTGCGTGAAACCAGAAGCCAGGAAAATGTTGGACGAGTAATAAGCTGCCATCGCGTTATAATGATTTCACAACGTGAATACGAATCTCATACCGATGACATTGACACCGCAAAACTGCTGACCGAACATGACAACCCAACTAGCAAGGGCAGCATGCCTGTTACGCGGAATCGTGAACATCTCAACAACACGGTTGCGACCCTTCTTCATCTCGTTCTCCGCCTCCAGCAACACGTGAATATAATACAGATCACGAGCAGCCTGAACGCGCGAGAAACGAAGTCGACAAAGCTCATTGAAAGCATCCTCGTAGCGACCCTTGGAGATCAACCAACGAGGCGACTCAGGTGCAAATAAAACTTGCATGCAGACGATAAGACCGGGGATACCAGCAGAACCTAGCATGAGGCGCCAGTTCAAACCAGTCACACCGGGGGTGTCCGGAATGAAGTAGAATGCCAAGTCGATAAGGTCTCCTAGAGCAATCCCGAAAGCGGTCCACATCTGCCACATCATGACCAAAGCACCGCGTATCGGCGCAGGTGAACACTCAGCGGTATAAACTGGGACTGTGGCAGATTTGGGACCGATGCCGAAACCGAGGAAGAACCGGGCGATGAAAAGATGCCACCAGGTATTTGTCAACCCAGACCAGATACATGTCAAGAACGAGATCATGCAAGTGACGAAAATGGTCTTTTTACGCCCGAGATAGTGGTTGAGTGGATGGGTCAGCCAACAAGAAAGGGTGGCGCAGCATCTGTGAAGTGATGAGGAACAATATTCTGCAATAAGAACAAAGTACACACAGGTAGGGTGCGGAGTTGACGAGACCGACCAACCATGAATCACGTTCTGTACACAATCTATGAATGATGATCATTGGAATGATAGAAGAGTTTATGCGCACTGCTAGTGGGATCACCGATGCCAAACTGACTGGGATAAATGATTTGAGCACCATTGATAACAGCCTCGTCCATTCCCTGGACAGCAGGCTGCAAGTGATGACATCACGACCATCTAGTTTAACGGTATGAACTATAACCGACAGTTGAAACAAGGGACGACACCAACGTAATATAGTGTGGGCGTTTGTCGCCACCTGTGTGTGACCTCTTCCGTTAGGATTCGTTTGTCTTCATCTGTAAATACGTCGAGACGATCATGACCTGCGTATCAAGAACCTCGAGTCAGCTGGTGAAAACGTCACTCGTGTTGACATACAAGTGGGATCCTGAGCAACAAGCGCCCCTTTCTTGAGCTCAGGTAGCAAATGAGTCAGCCCTCTCTCCTGGGCAAAAATTTCGACATCCGCCATAAGACGATCATGAGGTATGCCAGCGCAGGGGATTTGATAACTTGGCATCAGCGTTACTGACAGAAAGCGTCAGTCTGGGCACTTGACACAGGGGCGATCTCATACGCACGCGATGGCTCTTGTCTCCGTGTCCAATTTTGGTCTATGTTGGTGCGGGTGCTCTACCACGGCATCAGATTTTTCGTTCAAGGGCGGGGACGACATCTCAGTCGTAGGCGCGCAGTACGGAAAAAGAGGGCGAAAAGCAGCCTTACTCCTATCGGCTTATACAAACTTGGGATTATATAGTGCCGCGCCTAGAAGCCCAAAACAGCAAATTCAATACAAAAGCATCATGCGCCATGCCGTCAGTTGTTGTCCAACGCATCCGAGGTGGAGCGAAAACCCACCCCACTTTCTGGTGTATTTTTATCCGCCATGTGACCTGCTGTATGCTTTGCCAACAATGCATGGTCTTTTGATAGTCGAGAGGACCCCAAACGACTGTGTAAACCTTTCACACAAATACACGATACCGCTGATCCGAGTATCAGTTGGCAATTGTAAATTTTGACGGAGGAGCCTGAGGCTGACCTAGAACAAGGAAATTAATAGGCGCTCTCTCACGATCAGAACGCAACGTTAACGAAGTTGTTTTACTCACCATGACCCAGGTCGGAGCCTATAGTAACGAACATAATCTTCTGATGGGGATGCGAGACTTCGGCTTGGGCGTGGGTGGAAATGACAAGGCCAAGATTCTCACTGAGAGAGAGGTTGGATTTTGTCAGAGATACATATATCAACGATGCGCGCAACGCACTATGCCGTTCTTCCAAAATCTGGCGACAAAAATTTCAAACGTTCCCACGTTTGGAATTACTTTCTGCACAGGACCACCTTACTACCAGCTGGCATGTTAGTGAGGCCTAGAAAAAGCCGTTCCATGGACAAGTATTGACGGAACTTTCCGAATCGTTGCAGGTTCGCTTCCAACCATGCCCACAGTAATCAACGAAGTCTTCTTCAGAGGCTGATCATCACCAACATTGCTCACGTCTACGTACGTGCCCCCAATTATCCCGCTTATTCTTCGAGGCACAGCATCTGGTCCATTCTTATTTGATTGTTCTGTCTGAAAAATGATTGGCCATAGTATCTGGGGTACATCGCGCAGTCACAGCATATCCTGCTCCAAATGAAACTGCGGGTACATAACAATGTTCCGTTAGTACAACCTAAGGCGGTAATCCATGGTTCGGATCCCATTATCTTACATATGCAACGATATCTGAATCAAAGATAGTGCATCACCCCCGTTGATCTCTTCTCACAGACGGCTTGGCGGAATGGGCATATATACCGCAGCAGTGAGCGCCTTCACTGCCTCCTCCGAGTGAGGCGGATATCGAATCGCCAGGTGTGGTTCAGCCCTATCCATACTCAGATCAGCCTTCAAATGGGCGGAGGCTAACTGGAATGAGAACTCACTCTTTCGGCATGTCAATAGAGCTACGAAGCTGCGTGAACGTATCGTAGGTATATTTCATAAACTGGTTTCCGTCTAGTATGGTGTTCAACGTAAGCGACATTCTCTGCGCTCCCAAGTGGAGTGGAAATCTCACAGCCTGACTCGCCTACCCCCGCAAATGGCAGTTCATTCACTGTCCCATAAAAACGGGTGAGCGCCAATCCACGCATGACGTCAATACCGCCAGGAACGTACCAGAGAGTTGTTGGAATGTGTCATTGAAAACAATACCACCACTCTGTGTTTCGGAGACAACTTTAAAAGATTGATTGAGATGTTTCAGCCCGAACCGATCGTATAAGGCAAGTAAACTTACGCTGCTGCTTCACGCTTTCGTTGTCACTAAAAGCGTACAGAACCAGTGGATGAGATCTTTATGCGACAAGTCAACTGATGAGCTGCAATATGTGACGAGAGCCTACCGTGCATTGACGAAGTTAATTGCCTGCTTCAAGGAATCTACGGGCACGATAGGCAATATCGGACCAAAGAGTTCTCTATAAATACCACGCTATCAGAATCAAATTTCCAACACAAGGCAATACTGACTCTTCCAGCAAGGAATCGCCGTCCGCGACATCCTTGACGATGGTGGGCTCAAGTCTCCTCCTCGCAGCATCAGAACGACCCTGAAGAACGACTTCACCCTTCGTGCGAGAAAGAAGTGAAGTGAGGCGTTTATGGTGCAAATCTGACACGATACTTCCAAACAATGGCGAATCCAGTGCACCCTTGGGGAAAAACGATTTGTAATGCTTCTGAAGTGCCTTGACCAGCTCGTTCTGCTTGTCCTTATGCACGAGGACATAGTCAGGTGCCACGCAGATCTGCCAGAATTCAAGTTTAGTATGTTGCAGCTTGCCACATAAGGTAGTAGCCCCAAATCAATCATTAACATCAACTCGCCTGTCCCGCATTGTTGCATTTACCCCACAGGATCCTCTTTGCGGCAAGATCGATATCATATGTGGAGTCGACGATGACAGGACTTTTCCCACCTAATTCCAGTGAGAGCGGCGTCAGGTGCTTGGCCGCAGCACTGGCGACGATCCTAGCGACCCTGCCATTCCCTGTGTAGAAGATGTGATCCCATTGAAGCTCGAGAAGCTTTGAGGTCTCAGGAACAGCACCGTTGACCACGCGACATAGATTTGGGTCAAGGTACTTGGGCACAATTTCTTTCAAGAGCTTTGAGAAGGTAGGGACAAGCTCAGAGGGCTTTAATACGGCGGTACAGCCTGCTGCGATTGCGCCAATCAGAGGCTGGAAGGTGAGGATCATAGGGTAGTTCCATGGCCTGTTTAAGTGTGTCATCAGAAACTAGCATTTAGACACCATCTTCTATCTCACGAGATTATCAGCACAGTGCCCTTTGGAGCCTTGTAGAGCCTGTGTAGTGTGATATATGTATAGTTATTAGTCACATTGATCTCATCGAATTTGTCATCTGATGATCGAACACTCACGTTGGCTTCCATGGCTTTTGCCACTCAGCCACCTCAGGATATTCAGTCTTGGCCCACTCTGGGAGCTGCTCTGCACTCTTCACAGCTCGCTCGATGATCGCACCCACTTCAGTTGCAAGGACCTCTGTTTTCGGCTTTCCCAGGTCCTTCTGTAGGGCATCGCAAATGAGTTCCTGTTCGTTCTGCGCCATACGTGCAAGCTGGTATAGCTGGTGCTGACGCCACGCAATGGGACGGGTCACTCCGCTACGGAACGTCTCTCGAAGAGCATATCTGATCTTCGCCGCTTAGTAGCTGAAACCATGCAACAAGTTCTGAACATGCTGCACTCACCTTTGGGATCTTACTGATAAGGGTTGCCATATCCCGGTCGTGGATCAATCGTTCAAGCTGAAGTCAAGCTATAGTACAGGATGAGAGATGAGGTTACAAAACACCACACAAAGGAAAAACACAGCGTCAGGAAAGTACCGGTATCGTGTGCGTATTTGAAATCAGCACTAGCCCTACTCACAATGGCTGCGTGTTTGCCATATGCATACTGTGACACATTGCGGTCCTGCTTCTTTGCAGCACAGCATCTGATCAATCTTATGCGATTGTTCTGAAAAATGATTGGCCATGGTATCGGGGGTACGCCGCGCAGTCACAGCACATCATGCTCCAAAATGAAACTGCGGGTACATAACAATGTTCCGTTAGTACAACCTAAGGCTGTGATCCATGGTTTGGATCCCATTATCTTACATATGCAATGGTATTTGAATCATAGACAGTACATCTCACAGGCGGCTTGACGGAATGGGCATATATACCGCAGCAGTGAGCGCTTTTACTGCCTCCTCCGAGTGAGGCGGATATCGAATCGCCAGGTGTGGCTCAGCTCTATCCATGTTCAGATCAGCCTTCAAATGGGCGGAAAATAACTGGAAGAACTCACTCCTTCGGCATGTCAATAGAGCTACGAAGTTGCGTGAACGTATCGTAGGTATGTTTCATAACCTGGTTTCCGTCTGTCACGGTGTTCAGCGTCAGCGGCATTCTCTGCGCTCGAAGGACATAGTGGAAATCTCACAGCCTGACTCGCCTACCCCAGCAAATGGTAGTTCATTCACTGTCCCATAAAAACGGGTGAGCGCTAATCCAAGTATGACGTCAATGTCGCTAGGAAAGTACCGTACCAGCGAGTTGTTGAAAGGTGTCGTTGAAAACAATACCACCGCTCTGTGTTTCGGAGACAACTTTTAAAATTGATTGAGCCCGGGTCGACCGTATAAGCCGAGTGAAACTTACGCTGCTGCTTCACGCTTTCGTTGTCACTAAAAGCGTACAGAACCAATGGATGAGATCTTTATGCGATAAATCAGCTGACGAGTTGTATTATGTATGTGACGAGAGCTTACCGCGCATTGACGAAGTTAATTGCCTGCTTCAAAGAATCCACGGGCACGATAGGTAATATCGGACCAAAGAGTTCTCTATAAATACCACGTTATCAGAATCAAATTTCCAACACAAGGCAATACTGACTCTTCCAGCAAGGAATCGCCGTCCGCGACATTTTTGACGATGGTGGGCTCAAGTCTCCTCCTCGCAGCATCAGCACGACCCTGGAGAACGACTTCACCCTTTGTGCGGGAAAGAAGTGAAGTGAGGCGTTTATGGTGCAATTCCGAGACGATACTTCCAAACAAAGGAGAATCCAGTGCACCTTTGGGGAAGAACGCATTGTAATGCTTCTGGAATGCCCTGACCAGCTCGTCCTGCTTGTCGCGCTGTACAAGGACATAGTCAGGTGCTACGCAGATCTGTCAGATTTCCCGTTCAGTACTTGCCACATCAGGCAGTAGCCCCAAATCAATCAACTCGCCTGTCCCGCATTGTTGCATTTACCCCACAAGATCCTCTTTGCGGCAAGATCCATATCATATGCGGAGTCGATAATGACAGGACTCTTGCCACCTAATTCCAGTGTGAGTGGCGTCAGGTTCTTGGCGGCAGCGCTGGCGATGATCCTGGCGACCCTGCCATTCCCTGTGTAGAAGATGTGGTCCCATTGAAGCTCGAGAAGCTTTGAGGTCTCAGGCACAGCACCATTGACCACGCGACATAGATTTGGGTCAAGGTACTTGGGCACAATTTCTTCCAAAAGATTTGAGAAGGTAGGGACAAGCTCAGAGGGCTTCAACACGGCTGTACAGCCTGCTGCGATTGCGCCAATGAGAGGTTGGAAGGTGAGGACCATAGGGTAGTTCCATGGCCTGTTCAAGCACGTCGTCAGAAATTAGAATGATATAGCAGCTTCTATCTCACGAGATTATCAGCACAGTGCCCTTTGGAGCCTTGTAGAGCCTATGTGGATGTGGTGTGGTATACGTACAGTTATTAGTCACAAGTTTGATAATTTGACAAGCGAACACTTACGTTGGCTTCCATGGCTTTTGCCACTCAGCCACCTCAGGATATTCAGTCTTGGCCCACTCTGGGAGCTGCTCTGCACTCTTCACAGCTCTCTCGATGATCGTACCCACTTCAGCCATAAGGACCTCTGTTTTCGGCTTTCCCAGGTCCTTCTGTAGGGCATCGCAAATGAGTTCCTGTTCATTCTGCGCCATACGTGCAAGCTGGTATAGCTGGTGCTGACGCCACGCAATGGGACGGGTCACACCGCTCCGGAACGTCTCTCGAAGAGCATCTCTGATCTTCGCCGCTTAGTAACTGAGACCATGCAACAAGTTCTGAATATGCCGCACTCACCTTTGGGATCTTACTGATAAGGGTTGTCATATCCCAGTCGTGGATCAATCGTTCAAGCTGACGTCAAGCTGGTGACAGGATGAGAGATGAGCTGGCAGGACCTCGCGCAAAGGACAGACAAACCCAAGAGGTACCGTGTGCAATGTGCATATTTGAAATCGGCGCCCTGGCAGCTTTGCTCAGACTCCGTGTTTGTCATGACAGGCATAAATGGTTTTACAACTGCCGTGGATTAATATTTCTCAGCCAAATGCGAACCTCCGCATGTCCGCGAGTGACCCGACAGGCGGTAGGGCGGCGTCGTGATAGCAAGCATCATAATGCTTGGTGAAACAAGAAGTGAGTCCGCACCAGTCATCATACACATTTCACCCGGTTGTACACTACTAAGTAGTACATATATACACGAGATCGTCCGCGTCCTTTCAATCAATTCGAGGTTTTGAAACATTACAGTTCCTCGTCAACAGTGACCCAGCTATCTCTCTTCGCAGATCTGTACCTTAACATGTCAGCCACGCCAAACTCAGTTGATGAATAGAACAGAGCTCACGTCGTAGGAGAGATGTTTGGAACGTCAGAATTCTCGACCTCCAGCACCAACTTCACCGTTTTCACCTCGAAACTTCGGAATTCGAGCTTAAGCGTGCTATGCGCGCCCGCCGTGGATACCAGACCAAGCTCCCCTTTAGTGTCCTCCAGAATGTTCGTGACATACGCGCGCTTCACAGGCAGGTCTTTTCCGACGTGTAACTTTACAGAACCATGCCCACCAAACGCTTCATACATGCGCAAGATGACGGTTGTGCCGGACGCCTTCGGTTCGAAGTCGTCTTCTCCTCTCTTGACAGTCTCCAAGAAGATGTTCGGTGCGCCTTCAAGCCAGAATGGGAGAGACGGGACGGGACGGCCCGCGTTCTGCGCGGGAACAGTTCTCACTGATGATATCATTAGACTTATCGGTGCGTACACTAAATCAAAGAAGCATACTGACCATGCAAGGGCGAATTATAAATAAAGGCAGCCATCGGAACGTCGGATTCGAGGAAAGAGCCTATGTGAGGCATGACTGCCCATGAGAACTCGTGCTTGCCTACAAGAAAAGAACATGTAAGAATGGACTAGCCACGAAAGTTTAACGCTAGAGTCAAACCTTGGTCCTGCTCTGCGTCAGGTGCCGTGGCTGCTCTGAGCAGGGAGATACGAAGAACATTGCCTTCACATGCAAAGCCATACTTGGATTCTGACAGGAATGCAACCCCATATCCATATTCGCTAAGATCTGCGAACTGACAGCTCGTAGATAAGACTTGACGAAAAATCAAATCATCGAAAAGCATATACGTACCTTGTGCCCACAGACCTCAAATTTGGCAGCGTCCAGCGTTGTATTCTTGTGTGTCGGCCGCTGAACGAAACCAAACTGTGACTCGTAAGTCGCATACGTGTTGTTGATGTCGAGCGGTAGTTCAACTGCAGTCATGCATTAGAACAAGGCAGCAAAGAGGTGTTGTCATCGCGCACATTTGAGGAACTTGTGTCTCTCATGCCAATCGACCACGGCATCGAAGTTGAAGAAGGAGCGGGAATCTCCTTTCATCGTTGCTACGCTTCCGCTGTAAGTGCTTGTTTCTGCGTTTACGAAATTCTTACCGGTGATAGCATCGAGGGAGATCTGTAAACAGCGATATATCCCGTCAGCATCGGAAGAGAGGGACAAATCACTCGCAAGACAGCGCGATGGAAGGAATGAAGGAGTAGTAAATGCTAGATACACACCGTGACATTAATCGTACTGTTCCCGTACTTGACCTGGGTCTGGACAGCGGCTCTAAGAGGCCCTTCAGCTATAACTTGAACTTGAGAGAACGAAAGCGGAGTAGATGTTTCGAGGTGGTGGATTTCCACATCTAAAATACCCAAGCGTCAACTTCCGGTCCGCGATCAACAGCATAATGAAAGAACGGACCCCAGGCATCCCAGTAATTAGGACGATCTTCGAAAATAACCAATCCACCGGAACTTCCTTTGGGAATAAGCTCACGACTTAAAAGTACAGTTAGCGGGTCGCGATAGCAAAGAAGGACATAATAAACCTAAGCTTAACGTCGATCAGGCTGATGATCCGTCCCTTTGATATGGTGAGCTGGACATTGGCATTCCGGAGAACGAAGTGGTCAGTTCCATTGGTAAATACTGTAAGGGATGTTCAGTACCAACACTATGGCTGAGGTCCTGAGAAACATTTGACACACCAGATGCAGGCATACAATCCGATGACATGCCCACAGGATGTGACACGACCTCATTTCCAACCGAGTGCATTAGAGCATATCCGTACTTGCCATCTGCGGATGTTTGAACAACTGGCGCGTTCAGGCGGGCGGCATCTCCAGACAAAGGAATCTTGATGACATCGTGGCGCGCAAATGACGTGGCGTTAAACGCAATTAGCGTTTCCGGCGTCGAGTTCGTCAGGAGGGGAGATGATCGCGGGAGGAGAACACTGAATGCATCTTCGAGAAGACTGGTGCATACTTCACGAACTTCGGCGTACAACTTCTCTGCATCATCATAGACCATGCCGCTATAGAACAAAATCAATCTCTAGCTAGGCACGGAGAACTGTGACTCACATTGCAGATCCAGGTAAGACTGACGCCTACATTTCAGATACAACGGAAGTACAAAAACTACAAAAGCTTACCATCATGGACTGTCGAAAGGATGAGTGCTAATTAGTACAGTATAGATACAGAGCACTTACACTGATTGAGTAACACTTTCTCCCAGCACTCATCAATGGCCCGCTTCGGATACACATACGAATGTCCCTTGGGCTTGAGGAGCGAAGTCAGGGTAACCACGCGCTGCGATCGTTTGAGATATGAGTGTAACCGTGAATTAAGCACAACCAACCTCCACATCCCTCAAAAGTATCTCGCACTTCCTATTACCTTTCTTGATGGAACCTATCAAGCATGAAATCAGTATCGATAATGAGTGCGACAGGTAACATTAACCGCTTACCATGCGAAGTATAGGTTCCCCTGTGAAACTATCTCTAGGCTTCAGAACCGGAGTCTGCTCACGCTGTTGAACACACTCACTTCAAGGTACAATTCCCCTTTCCTTCACACCATGGCATGTCAGAAAAAGTCATGAGAATGGGAGGCTTGACAGACCAAACTGGCAGCGTTTTCCCCTCCTTCGAATCTTCCTCGATGTCCTCGAAGAACTCCTCGACAGAACTTCCCATACTAACAGATGGAAGTTCTCTGTGTTCATTAGTAGTCGCGCGAATGCGACGCAGCTGTCAAATATCATTAGGCTGAACTTAAAGGTCGGAAACCAATGCTCGTACGTTCTCCAGCATCTTGGGCAATGCTCCCCCTCCTCCATCCCCGTTTCCAAAGACCAGAAGGGCAGTAGCGTTTGACTCAAGGTTCTAAATACCAGTGAGTGAGAAAAGAATACCCGTGGCCAATTATGCCACCCATACCTTATGATTTGTGATCCCCTTGTTGACATCCCCGACTGTTGCTTGTGCAGTGTAAGTATCTGCTCAGGTGAACTAGTCAGCATTAGTAAGACTGCTAACCGGACATGATCTTACCGACGGGTGTCATATGACAAAGTACTTGCGAGCCATCGATGCCAACCCAATTGAAGGTGGAGTGCGGGAAGACATTTCTTTCTTTACTATCAGTAAACTGAGACAGCAACTGCAAAACAACACCAACATGTTATTCCTGCCACAAGTCGTAAGCTGACTGCAAACCAGGCGCATATATTCACTCACCAGCTCAACTTCTGCGTGAAAAAGTACTTCATGCCCGCATCCCTGATCAGTTGCGGATAGGCCGCAGTGAGACCGAACGAGTCTGGGAGCCAAGCAGTCTCACACCGCTTGCCAAAACGCGACTCGAAGTAGCGTTGACCGTATAGGAATTGCCGGACGAGGGCTTCACCTGAAGGCATATTTCCATCGTTCTCGACCCACGAGCCACCAATGAGATGGAACTGGCCAGACGCCACTTTCTTCTTGATACGTTCAAAAAGTGGAGGATATTGCTACGAAGGAGGGATGCATGAGCAAATAAACCAAGAAGATGGAGCCAGGCACACCTCTTCAAGCCATTTGAATTGTTGGGCTTGAGAACAAGCAAATCTATGCTCTGGGTAGCGTTCCATCAAATCAATCTGGGTGGACCATGACCTCGCTGTCTTCTGCTGTGTGACTGAATACGGCCACAGCCATGCTGTATCCTGTTGAAGCACAACATATTAGACATTTCATCACAATCTGCATCTCTGAATAATAGCTGACAATATGACAGTATGAAATTCCGACAATCTGGGCCTTTTTGGGGCCTTCACTGTATACCTTGTCGCCTTTCGCGTGCCAACCTTTTCCGAATACATCCTCGGCAATTCCGCGCATGCGTTTCACGTTCTCGGGATCTCCAGATTTAAATGCATTCATGATTTTATTGGCTGTGACGAGCGCCTTGTTTTGAAGGGCAGTGTTTCCAGGGACAGTGTCCACAATCTCACGAAGAGTGGTGAAGTCCCACATCAGATGCCCTGCAACAAGTTTCAGCCGAGCATACGGTAAAATGTGCAGCGACATACAAGCATCTTGGTTTGGGACGACTAGGTCTGCAGACGCAAGCTGAAAGTACCTGTTCAGCTGCAAAAGAATGAGCATCTGTGTCGCGTTGAAAATACAACAAGTTTACATCGGGAGGCGCGATGATGTCGCCGTTCCATGGCACGCCGAACATGCCGTTACAGCTGGACTCGATGACCACAGCGTAGTGACCGTCACGAACAGCTTGAGGCGGGATGAGATGTTCGACTCTGCGATCTCCGCCGTAACCACCAGTAATTCCTGAATAGCAGCATTCAGTTTGGAACATAAAAAAGGTTGTAAAATATACCTTGAAGCGGAACGCCATCTGGGGTGAATATCATAGCTTCGCAGCCAGGATCAAACTCAACTGAGGCAGGCATACTACATGAGCATTTGTTTACCGGTTCAATACTCTTACCTTACATTGTACGCGTCCATACTGTTGCCAGTAGGAAGGAATCTTGAGAGTGACCTTCCACCAGTGGTTTGTCTGCAAACATATATATACTTGTGAGAAGCAGACACGATTGCGTAGTATTGTCATACCCCTGCAAAGAGAGGGTGTGAGTGTGTCGGAAATAATGGTGAATATGGAAGGACTTACAAGATGGCCCAAATGAATCACCCTTCTTCGCTGGTTTGAACTCTTGTTTCATTGCCTCTCGAAACGAGGGCTTGGTAAGACCCGGTGCACTCCAGACTTGGAGATCTACATGATGGGAGCCATCGATGCGATGAGTGTAGAGGACAGAACTCAGGTTGACACCTTCGAAGTGACCACCAAGGAAAGTGGACAGTCGGTTCTGTGTCAAACTCTTGATCCATTTTGCCCCAGATCCATGGTTAAGTTCGGGGTAGTTCTTCTGGTTTTGATTGTGTGAGCACATCGTTGACTGCATTCAACAAGCACCCCCGCAGTACGTACAAGTACGTCGTGGAACCTGGGACTGGATGAACGTGGGATACTTACTCTTCACACGATGCGGCATTCAATGCATCACGACCCTGCCGACTCGAAGCGCCCTTTTGTTGCACTAGCACTGACATTAACACTGACTGCAGGATACGTATAGACTGGCCGAAAGAGCATGACACCTGACGTAGACTCATTGCAAAGGCTTTTTTGCTCGAGGCTTGAAGACACGCCGTTTGTCCAAACTCCACCTAGGTGAAGTCTCCGCTCCTCGGGTATTATTAATGGATGTTTCTAAACGTATTACTCAGGCGAGACTACAGCTCACTGGTAAGTACCGGTAAGTAACCAAGGTGATGTTGGTATAGTCAGCACGATGTAATACCGCGTGAGGCTATAAGCACTTTAATACTAGTCTATGATGTCGGTAGCGTTGTGTATCGGAAGGGCAAGGCAAATCCCGGGGCTACATCACTGACCGCAGCTGCAGGTAAAAAGGCGTTGAATTTGCGCCTCGACATCAATTACGCAGGTCTCCATTCCACCACTTCGTCGAGCACTGTCCCCCTGTTTTTCCCTTTGAACCCGCATCATTCCATAAATGACCCCTTTCTCTGATCTCCTACTTTCGATAGTGCCAGCGGACTCTATCCCCGCTCATCTCAAATCATACATTCCAGGCGTCTCGCCCTTCTCTACATGGCCAGTGGTGTCAACCCTCATTGCTTTCTATCTCGTTTCCATCCTCACGACACGCGAGTTCATGAAAAACCGACCCTCATTGAAACTACAGACGCTCTTCAGATTTCATAACGTGTTGCTCAGCACCGGCAGTCTTGTTCTTCTGTTGTTGATAGCGGAAGAGGTGGTTTCGGTATGGATGGAAGTTGGAACTTACGATTCGATGTGCGCCCCATCGTCTTGGACTGATGTGAGTGGCTTAAAAAGTTCCGGCTACACTCACACATTCGGTAATAGAAACTAGAGTTCTACTACATCGTCAATTACTACTTCAAGTACTATGAGTTCCTCGACACGTTATTTTTGGTCTTGAAGAAAAAACCTCTCAGTACGTCGTCCAACATTCTTTGCAAACAACCGTAGACCATACGCCGGCAGCCTTTTTGCACGTCTTTCACCACGCCTCAACTGTATTACTGGCTTTTGTTCAGTTGAACGGCAAACTGAGTCCAGTGAGTTGAATCCTACACTCCGATATTGCCACATACGCATGCGTTGCATTTTAGTCTTGGACCGTTGTCTCCATCAACCTTCTGGTCCACGTTGTGATGTGTAAGTGATATGACACTTTCAAATGCGGTACCAAAATATTCCGCAGATTACTACTACTACGCAACTGCAGGAGGCGCCAAATTCTGGGTAATTACAGATCACTTTGCCAAAACTTTCGCTCACCGTCGCAACATAGTGGAAGAAATACCTCACAGCCATGCAAATCATCCAATTCATCATCGACCTCTTCATATTCTATTTCGGCCGTACGTGTCTCTATTTTACATCCGTTCTCGGTGCTCAAGTTGTGCTCAGTGTACCAGCACTACGTCCACAAGTATTTTCCCGCTCTTCCGCACTTTGGCGATTGCTCTGGCAGTGAGCCGGCTGCGCTCTTTGGCTGCGCTCTTCTCACAAGTTATTTGATGCTCTTCGTCGATTTTTATATGCGCACATACAGCACGACACCTTCCTCTAAGGTGAAAACAAACGGAGTTGGTCAGACCGTAGTCCCAAATGGAATTAGCCACATGTATGCGCTCCCTTTCCTCTACTTTCGCAGTACAGAGCGATACTGAGGAGTTAACAACAGGAAACACTAGCCTTCGTGGACAAATAGAACGTTACATCTTAATTGTTTCATTGCAGATCACGTAGCATATAATAGTCTCCACGGAACACTAATACCCGCAGTATGGTACAAGAAGCAAGAAGTATGGTACAAGAAGCAAGAAGTATGAATAGAGCGCTCAGTATGTATGTTATCAATAAATCCCAGGAATTAATCGGTATTTCACCCTCCTCGCCCAATTCTCCCATTCTTCTCCCAGAGCACGCTGGAGCATCTTGTCCTCCGTAGGAGGCCGTTGGATGGCAGTCCCAGCAAACGCTGTAAGCAAAAAGAAACAAACACCTGCTAGCACTTTCACGATAGGCACCTGTAGAACCCCGGACTCTCTCATCCAAGACCCTTTGCTTACATACATAGCGATGATCCCGACATATTGGAGAAGGTAACCTGTATAACTTGGATGGCGGACGACCGAATAAGGCCCACTTGTGATAAGCCGGTGCTCTTTTCTGATGCTAAGTGGGAAGCTCCACTGCTTCCCTAGCGTCGACGAACAATAAAGTCTGAACAAGCCGCCGATCGTCACAGCAAGACTGCCAGTGAGGAAAACCGGGGTTATAGGCGTAGGGTGAAGAGCGCGCAAAAGCAGCACAGCTCTAGCTCCATACTCTGGAATATGCGAAGGATCTACATGCGTGACGAGGATAGCTGCCACTTCAGCAGACGATGCTGCCCATATGCTGCCCTGTCAAATTGTCCACTAATAAAACAGACGACAACCGGTGTACAGGAGTAACACACCTTTATGAAATCTAAACCGCGCCGTTCGAAAACCCATCTGCTGAAGAACTCCAAGGTGGTGGAGGGTACCACTTTCTCTTCTGATGATGGTGGCTGAGAAGGAGACCTGGCCGAGCAATGTATGCCAATGGCCGGAGCTATGATGAAAGGGATCTTCAATAGACTCATGGTGTATTACTGACCTCTCTTCGGAGCCTGCAACACTCACATTAAATCAACATCCAGCATATCACAGGCTTGAAGCCCCGGTAATCTGTCGTAGGCAAATTTCTCCAAGTTCCGAAAAAGTGGCGCGCAGGGATCTGTCAAACTAAACTTATCTCGAGCGCGTTCCTAGTGTTCAAACATATTGGTACTGTTAAGTGTCACCAGGTGGTGAAGAAGAACGTTCTCCTCCGGGCTAGTATGAGTTCCACCGGGTCCGGATTTAAGTACTTACCGGATACCAAGTCGATGTGGTGAGCGGCCAGCCTGTGACGTAGCCAAAACAAGAATGCACATATGCTTCCCTCGGAATATTATTATTGACAGTGGCTTTGCCTCGTGGGTTCGAGGACCTTGTGGTAAGGTCATTTTTAGCAACTAGCAAGGTTTGAGAACCATAACCAAGACACATGGAGAGTGAGTTCAGAGATCAAACGCCGCTATCCACTCTTCCATTTCGTGCCGAATCGTGCGTGATATATCGTTTGAAATGGAAACATCCAAAAAGAGACTTCGAGGCGAGTCGTGTACGCTTCATGGTGTGCCCATTGCAGACACATGAGATGTCGCGGAAATCCCTTGCAGCGCTTGCAAGGACATGCAAAACCTTACATGAACTGGGCCTGTGTTGACGTTGAGTCGTTGACGAATTTAACCATCGTTGTAAAATTACTGAGATCTTCGAAGACCTTCGTGGGACTCCGGCGATGATCCGTCGAGAACCAACGACAAAATACGGATTTAGATCAGACAATTGAGGCGATGGGTCGATGGGTGAGCATGGACGACAATTGAAAGAATGTGGACGATAGAAAAAGTCGATAGTACTTGAATATCTGGAAGCTGGTAGTAGCTAGCCAACATCCGACACGTGCCGTTGAACGTTCACATGTGTGGCACATCTTTCCCGCGGCCCGAGCTTCAACGTATACACTCACCTGCAGCAGGTATCCGCTATTCCAGCACACTTGTGCTCGATTTTCTATGTACGTGTGCATTCATAATCAACGTTGTCTTGAAATTTTGCGCTGATGTCATGAGCCGTTTAACATGACAGTTGCGACAATTATATCGTCGTCTTCGCTCAGTTCTGCTGCATCGTACTCTCTGCGTTCTTGAGAGTCCCCTTTTTCGGTACAATAGCATGGCAGACGATGTGGGGACACATCGAGTGGCTTTGCAGAGCTGTCCTCCCGGCCATCATCGTTATTTCGCCTGTCTTTTCACCCTTGCCACCAGCCTTTATCACAGATTTGACCAGCAGGGCGTCACATCTGACCTTGATGAGGCCATTGAGCTCTATCGAGCTACACTCCTCCTTGGCTTGGATCATTCTAACCGATCCGCATCTCTCAACAACCTCGCCTTGAGCCTTAATCGCAGATTCGAGCAACGGAGCGTCCCGTCTGATCTTGATGAGGCCATTGAGCACCATCTGGCTGCACTACATCTCTGTCCCCCCGGTCGCGCTCATCGATCCGAATCTCTCAACAATATTGCTATGGGCCTTCGATATAGATTCAAGCAACGTGGCGTCCCATCTGACCTTGATAAGGCCATTGAGCTTGACCGGGCTGCATTACTACTCCGCCCGCCCGGTCATTCTAAGCGATCTTCGTCTCTCAGCAATCTTGCCCTCGGCCTTCGTGAAAGATTCCAGCAGCGGGGCCTCCCATCTGACCTCAACGAGGCCATCGAGCTCAATCGGGCTGCACTACTCCTCCTACCCCCCAGTCATTCAGATCGATTCGCGTCCCTCAACAATCTTGCCCTCGTCCTTCGCGACAGATTCCAGCAGCGGAGCCTCCCATCTGACCTTGATGAGGCCATTGAGCACAATTGGGCTGGACTACTACTCTGTCCACCCGGTCATTCTGATCGATCGATGTCTCTCGAAAATCTTGCTGCCTGCCTTGAAGACAGATTCAACCAGCGGGGCGTGCCATCTGACCTTGATGAGGTCATTGAGCTCAATCGGGCTGCATTGCTACTCCGCCCACCCGGTCATTCTGAACGACCTTCGTCTCTCAGCAATATTGCCCTCGGCCTTCATAGAAGATTCCAGCGGCAGGGTGTCCCATCTGACCTCAATGAGGCCATTGAGCTCAATCTGGCTGCACTACTCCTCCGCCCCCCTGGCCATTCTGATCGATCCATGTCTCTCAACAATCTTGCTGCAAACCTTGAGGAGAGATTTGAGGCGCAGGGAGTCCCATCTGACCTTGATATTGCCATCAAGCTCAATCGGGGTGCATTACTCCTCCGCCCACCCGGTCATTCTGATCGATCTATGTCTCTCGACAATCTTGCCGTCAGCCTTGGGGAGAGATTCGAGCAGTGGGGTGTCCCATCTGACCTTGATGAGGCCATTACGCTCCATCGGGATGCACTACTCCTCCAACCACCCGGTCATTCAGATCGATCCATGTCTCTCAGCCATCTTGCCACCCGCCTTGGAACCAGATTCATGCAGCGGGGTGTTTCATCCGACCTGGATGAAGTATTTCAACTGTTTTTGCAGCTCTCCCACCCATCACATGCAGCATCTAAGACAGATCTTAGTGTTGCCAAATCATGGGCGGCATCTGCCGACGGCATGAAGCACGACTCTGCATTGCTTGCCTATAAGACTGCACTGAAATTCCTCGATCAGCAAGTTGCTCTCTTGTCGTCTTCTTCGCGTCATTTCGACGTCATCAGTAAGGCTGTTTCTTCCCTTGCCACAGATGCTTTTTCGTGCAGTGTTCGTTGTGGTGCGCTGACGACTGCTGTGGAATTAGTGGAGCAAGGCCGTGCAGTATTCTGGACCCAGTTGGCACGCTTCAGCACACCACTTGATGAACTTTCTGTTTCAGGTGACACCGGCGCAGCCTTGGCGGAAGAGTTCAAACGATTGAGCTTTCGCCGTCGTAACGCGTTTGATCAGTCTACTGAAGACCAGTCTCCGCAAATACGGAAACTGGCTATGCAATGGGATGACGTCGTCTCACGCATTCGCACACTTCCCGGTTTTTCCCGTTTTCTCCTGCCTTCCCTGTTCTCCGACCTACAGAGGGCGGCGGAAGATGGTCCAGTCATTATTGTCAATGCAAGCAAGCATAGCTGTGATGTCTTGATTATCCTCGCTGCCCAAGATCCCATCCACGTTCCACTCAATATCGCGCAAGCCGATGTCTCTGAGTTGTCCTCCGAATTTCAGTCCCTCGCAGAGCAATTTGGTTCTTCTGATCATCAACACAAGCTTGTCGGCATCCTCCGCAAGCTTTGGGATTATATTGTTCACCCCGTAGTCCAAGTCCTTGAGAAGTCTAAAATTCACATTCGCTCGCGTATCTGGTGGTGTCCCACTGCTGAATTCGTGCTGCTCCCTCTACACGCAGCAGGACCTTACGAGAAGAAGAAAGACAATTTGTCTCAGATTTTCATCTCCTCTTACACCCCAACTTTGGCGACACTCATTCGGGCGAGACAGCAGGTTTCTCGACCTGCGTGTACGCAGCATTTTGTCGCCATTGGTCAAGGAAACCCGGACGCAGGGAAGGAACTGCGTTGTGTCGCTCCCGAGTTAGCGGTCGTAGCTCAGCGTCTCGACTCCGTCGTGTCCTTCACATCGCTTGAGGACGGCGATGCAACAGTCCAGGGTGCACTTGATGTACTAAATCATAATCAGTGGCTCCACCTAGCCTGCCATGGGGTGCCGAATCGACAACAACCATTTGAGTCTTCCTTTGCAATGCGCGACGGGCCCCTAATGGTCAAAGACATCATCCGGTCTCACTGGCAGAATCCGGAGTTCGCTTTCTTATCAGCGTGTCACACTACCGTGGGGCATGAGGGGAGTCCCGATGAGTCGATCCATCTCGCTGCGGCTATGCAATTCTCTGGATTTCGCAGTGTCATAGGTTCAATGTGGTCTGTGGACGACGAGGTTGCGCGCCAGGTTGTGTCTGCTTTTTATGGCCACCTGGTTGATGGTTCAGGGAGATTGGATTGCACACGGGCTGCGGTAGCGTTGCACAAGGCTATGAAGTTGTTGCGCAAGAAGATTCCACTGGAACAGCAAATCGTATTTATTCACATAGGTATCTAGTTTTATGGGCTGTATTGTCGCATTCCTTCAATAATCTCTGCTTGCTTTCATCCACTTTTTACTTCCATCCATCCATGCGCATTTACATCACACAGTGTTACCACAACAAGTGCCATATGGCATGACTGTACAAATTGATACAGTTCCTCCCGAAACCACCTCAGCTCAACTCCGAACATCACCGGCATGGCCTAGCATCAAGGTTTCGCTGAAGACAAAAACATCAGCGGGACTGCTACAATCACAAGAGTCGAAACGCACGTAGGCGATGTTGCAAAGTGAGTTCAAGAATCGTGTTGATTAACTCTGCTTTCCTTTGAGAGTCTTGGACAGATCTTTTCTTAAACTTCGCCTTCCAAGGAGAGGAGTTTTCTTGGTATTTGCGGACGGCAGTGCTCAGAGCATCCTTGACAGCAGCCGCACTCGGAGACGACATGTACAGCTCGATTGCAATACGAGCAGGGTGAGTGGAATCTTGCTGGGACTGAAGATAGCGCCGCTGGTCCCAGAGATGGAACGAGTGCTCGAAAATGATGACAGCAGCTGGTTAATGAATGATCAGCAGGCACGTTTAATCTTGCCTTGAAATTCACCAGAACTGAGTTGAACAATTTGTTCCAATGTCGAAGAACCAAAGGCCTAGCCCAATGTAAGCAAAGGGGAATGCCCGAGGTCAGCAAGGGGTGACATCAACAGAAGATCAAGACACTGACTAGCTGTTAACAGATCAACAGTCTCTTCTGTCAGTAACGCTCGAGCTCGACGGAGTATTAAAACACTGACTAGCTATAAGGATAGGAATGTTGCCGGTCAGTTGAGCTCGACGTCGACGGAGGACTCTGGCACTTACACCCTAATAACAACAATTAATTTAGTCAGCAAGGCTTGACGCCAACACAGGAACACACTCACACCCTAACAAATCAGCGATTGCTTTAGTTAGCAAGGCTCGGGGCCGACAGACAATAGGCACACTTACACCCTGAAATCAGATCGTAATTGCGTCAGTCAGCAAGACTCGAGGTTGATGAAGGTCGACTACACTGACTAGCTGCCAACGGATAAGCGATTTCTGCGGTCAGTAAACCTCGAACTTGCTGGAGGATCAAGACACTGACTAGCTGTAAAAGTCAGAAATATCGTCGGTCAGCATTGCTCGACGCTGATGCAGGTTCCTGCACTCACACCCTGAGAGCAGATCAAAAGTTCTTTCATTCAGCATGGCCCGAGGCCGACAGTTGATTGACACACTCACACCCTGACAGGTAACAGTTGCTTCAGTTAGCGTGGCTCGAGGTCAACAGAGGAACACACTCACAACCTATCGAAGGATTGGAAAAATTCTCCAGTCAGCATGGGTCAAGGTTAGTGATGGATCAATGCGCTCACGTCCTGCCAATCAGCGAATGGTCAGGAAGACACAAGCTCAATGAAGGGTTAATGTACCCACATCCTGTCAACGGGGGAAACAAACATCTTCAGTCAGAAATGCTTGGGCAAGACCGAGGATCAACAAACTCACTCGCTGTCAACAGATGGGAAATTTCACTAGTGAATAAGGCTCAAAGTCTATGAGGGTATGTGCGCTCACAACCTGTCAGCAGATCATCAAATCATTCAGCCAACAAGGCTCGAGGTCGACGGATAATCGAAACACTCACAGCCTGTTCCACAGATTAGCAGTCTTTTCGGTGAGCAAGATGTCAACAGAGGACGAGCACACTCACATCCTGACAACAGACCAGGAATGTCATCGGTCAGGAGGACTGGAGCTGGATGGAGGATTTTCATACTCACAACCTGTCGACGGATTGCCAACCTAGTCAGTAAAGCTGCATCTTGGTGGAGACACACTCACCACCTGTCAACGGAACGGACGCACCACTTGTAAGGAAGGTTCGTGTTTGATAGCAGAGTGACACACTCACTTCCTGTTAACCGATGCGCCACGACGTTGGTGAGCAATCATCCACGTCAATGGAAGATTGATGCGCTTACATCCTGTCAAACGATGGGAGATATCTTCTGTCAGCATGGCCCGAGGGTGGACAGACGGGGAAAAAACTTACTCGCTGTCAACAGATGTGCAAAGTCGTTGGTGAGCCAAGGTTCGAGCTTGAGGGAAGAACAATGCTCTTACTCGCTGTCAACAGATGTGCAAAGTCGTTGGTGAGCAAGGTTCGAGCTTGAGGGAAGAACAATGCTCTTACATCCTGTCAATGAATGAACAATTTTATAGGTGAGTAAGGGTTCGACAGAGGATGAACACACTGACATCCTATCAACAGATCGGCAAGGTCATCGGTAAGCAGGGCTCGAGATCAGCGACAGTCAGTCAGAAAACTCACGGCCTGTCAACAGGTCAGCAGATCTCTGGGTGAGCAGGGCACGGCATCGACAAAATGAATAGACTCGCATGCTGTCAACACATCAACAATGTGTCTTGTTAGTAAAACTCGAGCTTGACGATGCATGCATACACTCACAAGCTGTCAACGGGTATCGGCAATTCATTGGTCAACAAAGCTCAGGCATAATGGAGATTCAATGCGCTCACTTCCTAAAACAGAGATATCGTCGGTCAGCAAGGCTCGAGCTTGACGGTGAACACACTGACTTCCTATTTGAACAGATCAGCAATGCCTTGGTCAGCATGGCTTGAGCTCGACGAAAGGATTGACACACTGACTCGCTGTCATCGTATTGTAAATGCCATTGGTGAGCAAGGTTGAGTGTTGCTTGACGGATCATTAACATACTTACAGTCTACCAATTGATCAGTAATATCTTCGATCAGCGTGGCAACTTGAAAGGAGACGTACTGTCTGCAAAGCAACCGCCCAACATGAATGAGAGGGTTTTTGTTTTGTAATATTTCTACAATCTCACCCAAATGTTTGGAAACCAGGCGCCTAACTTGCCTATTACCACATCATGATCCTTAGATGTCCCAAATATGCGGGATGAGATTGTCTGAGTAGAGTCGACAAGTCCTGCAATTGTCCTGCAGAGAAATCCAACTTGTTAATCCTCGCCACAATAAATGAGATTGTGGGTAGTCACCTTTCGACTGCATATTTCATGCATAACTCCAAGTTGGTCTGCTGAGTCGAGATGAACAATCGCTTGAGCGCTTCATGGTCCAGATTTTCAGCCGTGCATTTGATAAGTGGCCCGCAGTCTGCATCGTTCATGTTCATGTCTAGATGCCGAGGAAGCTAAGCACCCAAATCGATAACCTGATGAGCGACCGGCTTACCAGCAAGGCAAATATGACAATTCGGAGGACGTCGCTTGCCCTCGCGGTTGTACAAAAACTTCACTTGTGGCCCGTTCACGAACGACGCCCTGGCACGCATGGATGCCAGTCGTTTAGCATTCTCCCTCGATTCCCCCTTGCTTATTAGCTCTGCAAATTCATCGTCGTAGAGGGCGTCAAATTTAGTGAACAAAACTATTACTGGAACTGAAGATTGCGAATGAGTCGATCCTATAGAGGAAACGGTAGATTCAAAGGCTTACTACTTCCAGTGTCACATTGAGAGAAAAATTTGACCTCTCCTTCAGTGAAAGACCTACTTTCCTCATCCATTGGAATACAGTACCTATTTCAAGGGAGTCAGCTAGTGTATGTTGCGAACTTGATCAATTACGATTACCATATCGCATGTATTCGATCCTTTATACCTCTTTTCTGCGAACGACTTGTTATAAATGCCTTTACCTTCACCTGTACTTGACCGTGTTATGCATAATCATGGCTTATTAGACACGGGCCGTTATGCATGGTTACCTGTAGTCTTAGACATTATGCATAATCCCCTCGACTGTATGTATAGTAGTTCACATTATGCATAATCCCCTCGACTCTATGTATAGTAGTGTTCTCCGTAATGCATAATGCCCTCGGATCTTCTCTTTCCATGTTCCTGGCTGCATCCTTCTACGATCGCGATCTCGGAGACTTGCCAATCAAAGATTATATATAGTGCTACTAATACATCCTTCTAAAATTGGAGACTGATGCAATCACTGATTATATATAGCGCTACCCCACACATCGGAAAAAGAAGCCTTGCGAATAGATATGTTATCCTACTTGTATTCAGGGCACCGCTACTGCCGGGGGTAAGCTCGCCGCAGGAACTGCACGCCATTTTCTTAGGCAGTTGTCCCGCATCGTGATCCGAAGGGCCGCCTGGCGCTTCGCATATGCTTCAAGGCCTTCTAACTCTGCACCTTCCAACCCGATCCTCCGGCTTGCCTGATCCCTCCACCACGCTGCATGCCAGTCGAAGAACGTGCACACGCGCCGCATCTCCTCCTGGAGAAGTTCTACCTCTTCTATCCAACGATGTGTGCGCGCCCGAGATTTACACCACTCGACACGTAGCGCTGTGTGATAGCATTTTAGCTCGTATCAATCTAATAGACGATTTCTTACCATCAGCAAGAACGGTCTCTCCTTCCCTGTCTCCAGTAGTGACGCCGCGTGCCTTCCAAATCCATGATAGAGTTCGATTACCTTCGGATTGGCCTACATAGCCATCAGACATTCCCCGAACATGCTCAGGTTCTAGCTTGAGTAGTTCATCTCTCCAGCTTTGTTCGTGCAAAATGTCGCCAAGGATAACTAGCGCAGTCCAGGCCCGACGGTACCGCTCTGCATCTGTCTTGATGCTAAGCTCCACCTTAGCGAGAACTCCCGCTGCACGTGTATTGGCCCGTTGGCCACGCAATTGATTGGCTTTGAACTTGTATAGGTGGCTGCGCAGTCGGAGGTGTCGACGGAGGTCATCGAGAGCATCATATGCTTGTGCCTGTCGCAGCTCCCATTCATATCTGCACAGACGTTCCTCACAAAACTCGTTTGAAGCCCTTTTGAGCTGGGACGGCAACCACAGTTTGACCTCGTAGGGTTTTTCTTCCCGTGAGCTTATGGTACTAGCTGTATCGGATGCGCGAACACGGACGACCGTAGGAATGTATAATACCTGGACCTTGCACCATTGCTCGATTTTGCGTTGTAGCGCATTGCTCCGTTCTTGCAATTTTGTAAGCTGAAGGTCCGTTGAGTGAGGTCCCAAGGCAGCATACTCTCTTTCCAGCCGGCGTCTAAAAACAATTGGATAAAGATGCAAGGAACGAAAATATAAACTTACTGCTGGTCCTCTATTTCAATACCCGATGACACGAGAACGCTTGGCGATACCTCCATATGCAGTGAGTAGTTGAGGCCGTGTTCCAGGTCTTCTGCTTCCTTCTGCGAGAGACGCAGTCGTACCGCTGCGAGAGACATAGCTGCGAAAGAATGAGAAACATAAGATCAACATAAAAAAACTAACGCACTTGTAGTTGTAACCTCGAAGGGATTCGTCTGTGATCTATCGGCTTCCCAGCCTTCAATAGCCAGCTTCCACCGAGCGACTTCCTCTGGTCGTTCTGCAATTAATGTATCATTGAAATCATTGAAGTCGATGAGGTGCTGATCACGTTGAGGTATGGCTGCCACGAGCTTTCGGAATAGACTGATGTCTTGACGCCAAAATGTTAGTAAGAGATTCCGATCACATGATGTAGGTTCCACTCACGAAAATTGGTCACTTTCTTCCAGTTAAAATCTCCGAAGTGATCATCGAGGGTGTCGCGGCGTGAGCCAGGGCCCATCTCGCGAGTGCTTGTTGCTACAGGGTTGATGTTCGCCCACCCGCGTTCCGGTGCCTCCCCATCAGTGCGTCCCATCCCTTTGATAAGGTTGTGTGAGTACGTGACTTGGCAGAATGCGATGTGCGCGGGAAGATGGAACTTAGGAACGAGGAACACGAATTCCTTGGTACTGCGTTCAACATGCATTTGATGTGGGTATGTAGCCATACGATCCCATATATTCTTGCTCCATTGACACGCGATATCGTAGGACACGTTGAGCGTGACTACATCCTTCGAGTATTGCAGGGTAGAGAAAAATAAATAGTCCATATTAATATACCTATAGTACACGTTGAGTGGTGCAATGATTAGTAAAGCTCTCGCCTACCTCTCGCCCTTCTGGAGATCGCCAACGCCGCAAGGACGCTTCATGTTGTGGCGTGAACAATCGACAGTGCCAGCCCCCGTTGCTGCCAAACCGCGAGAGTTTTTAGTCTCGGCCAAGTTTACAGCGTTATGGCTCGCGCAACTACTTTTCTGTATGACAAGTGGGTGAGCGAGTATGATATGGCTAAGATAGATGGCCGCACCTCTTGCGGCTGCTTGCCAGTGTCATGAAGAAACTTCTTGAATGCCTTCTCTTCGACGAAGTATGCCCAGCCTTTGTTAAGACCGGGGTCAGTCTTGTCGGATGATACATTTTTGCGCGCCAGTCGAAAATTAGCATCAATCGCCAGAAATAACGAATATTTCCATCTAGATCATTCCGTGAGCGAACACGCCATGTGGACTAGACCAATACACGACATACCTTTCCTCAAACGGTGTATCTTCCCAGCCATTGGGAAGATTTTTGCCCGGTTGGGGGCAAGCAGGACATAGCACTGCGCATGCACCATGTTGTGTAGCCTCAACCCCACCAGGGTCATGGCCCCGTCCTGAACGTTTGAGTAGGGTGAGGTTTCGCCATTCCTTTACCATCCGTAAGAGCGCATTATAGCGATCCTGTGAGCGAGCCGTTGCAAGCTGTTATTAGGAATGAACGAGTCAATTCAAATTGAGAACTTACCTTTGGTGGGTTAACGCCTGTGTTGTTGGTCAAGCGTGCGAGCGTTTGCCAATACTCGAAAGTGGAGGCCTTTGATTCGAACGAAAGAATGTGGAAGTGGTGGAGTAGTCGAAATGTTGCGGTAGTCTTCGGATCCAGTGTAGTTGCTGGGAACCAACGCATGCGAAGGAGTTGCGTCGTACGAGATTGAGCTGTTTGACACTCGCAGAAGTGGAGTGGAATATTGTGCACTCCGTTGATGTCGAGAACCACGAAGTCGTTATGAACCAATGACGGGTTAGAACAATGTTCACCAGGAGGGTGTCCAAGTTGAACTTGCAGCCCAAGATCCCGCAGGTTAGTGTCTTCGAAATGTTGGCTGTTCCAGTACTGTGCAAGTCAATCAGCGCGAAGTAGTGAGCACTGCTGATTCCCACCTACCTCAATTCTGTGGGTTGGATTTTCTATATGCCTTTCTACCGTGCACGCCTTGCAATAGAGCTCAGTACCAAGACAATCCTCACATCGAAATTCAGGGGCATTCATGCAACCTGCAGAACCTCGACATGCTTCCTGAAGTAAGAAATCACCGCGACCCTCCAGACGGAGGAGTTCTAAAAGAAAATGATCCCGATCATCCATCCAAGTCAACAATGGGTTATCCTTCAAAACAACACGTCAGTAATTGTATCCAAGATAAATCATCTTCACTCACTCCTAAATGTCGATTCCGCTGTGAAACTTTCACTTCAAGTGATGTTTCAGCCAAGTGTTGATTGTAGACGTTGTCTTCGTTAGAGTCCAGAAGAGCCTCAAAATCAAAGGCAAAAGTATCTGAAGTATGTAAAGCAGATGGTGGTGGTGCCGTGTGAGAGCCTCTTGGAGCACCAAAGTACTCTGTCTGAGTCGAGACCTGTGCCGGTCCCTTCAAAGTGTAAGATTGATGTTTGTGAGTTGAGACTTGACTGTTTTCTGGATCCTCAGCCTGAGTAGTGTTTTGCATTCGCTGCTGAGATGCCTGATTTTTTGCATTGAGAACATACCAGTCACGCGTAAGCTTGTCGTGCTCGCGGCGTCTTTTTCCCATGAGGACTACAGCATTGAACGTTTGAACAATGAGGATACACAACATACCGCACAGTGATCACGTGATGTTCAACACTAGATGCAAAATACATAGACTACAGTAATCACTTGCCAATGCTAAGCGCTAATTGCCAATCAAGTGTCCCTTTGCGAAGAGCTTCAAAATATGAGTCTACACATAAGTCCATCTTCTGGATCATTTGCTCACATGCCTGGATGCGAAACTGTAAGATGCGAGTCACCGAACATACCCCCACTCGTAGTTGCTCGGTATAAGGACCCTCTAAGCTCCCAGCTGACGTGGATAAGCCATGTGCTTTCTCCAAGAGTTTGCATACCTCGCGAACGTCATCCTCATATTCTGGCTTCAGTGAATTCCATCCCTGACGGTCAGCAGCACAGACAGCATTCAATCCTTCAGACTCCAATCGTTGATACAGATCGGAACCTGGTTCATAACCAGAATTGAACCAGATATCGTCAAGCTGATTGAGTAGTTCGAGTGTCTCCTACAAACAGTGTGTATTAAAATTTGACAAATCAACCAAAAACGATTGACTCACATCTGAAGCTCCACCCCGGCGACGCCAGCGAGTGCGGGATTTGACACGTTCTTGCTGCCGATTCCTGTTGATTGTGAGTTCAGTAGTGGACGCGCAAAGAATGAACCACATTACTAGACTTGCCTGGCATAGTGTTTTTTCTTGGATTTTAAACGAGCTTGATGGGACTGCTCAGTTGTTTTGTACTTGCGTTTCCGAGTCATGCAAGGCGTCAGTCAACTGGAATGTGTGAAAAGGCGTAGGTAAGCTTCCGCACTCGAGTTAGATTTCATGTAATGCCTCAGCCACCACTTCGGGACACATTAAATTGTAGCACATAAGTCTCATTGCAGCTGCAAATTCAATAGTTTCAACAGTCTGATTTATATCTTGTGGACAGGT